TGCCTTGTAGTTGTGGCTGTTGACTTTTGCCCAGTATTCTCTTATTCACAAAGACCATTCATGGGTATTTGCAACTTATTTTATCCTCTATCTTCTCTTGTTTTGAAAGCAAAAACTTCATTAGGATCCTTGTAGTTTCAGAACTAAGGCCATTTCATTTTATCATCATCGTTCATGAGATCGTGAATTTTGCCAACCCAGGTGCTCGAATTTTTTTCCGGCTTTATGCGAACTTTTTATTTTTAATCACATCTAAATGAATTTCTTTGATGCCTCTCACGTAAACATGCAATCCTTTTGGGTTTTTTATTCATCCTTCGCAATTCTGAAAATCCTTTAATAGTTTTGGACAATTGATTATCACATTATTTTACACTGAATTCCACCAATTTTGATTGGACAGTCTAGAATAAAGCCTTTTGGGTGTGACCTGGGAAAGTCAACAACTAACCTTGGCTCTTTAATCATGTCAAAACTGTCCATTTCCTTGATGAGGGACATTCTGAAAGCTTCTTTTTTCTCGGCCTTTTTCTGAATTGTTTTTTAAAATTCTTGATACATATTTTCATCTCTTTAGATTGCTCACTTCAAAAATGAATTGTCACCTATCTCGCCACGTCTTGAAAGCCTTCTTTCTCTTGCTGGTCATCTGGCTCTTAAATTGCCACCAGAGGCTGTCAGTGAATTGACACCAGAGCCCATGCCCATGCTTTGCGTCAAACGGAGAGCCGAGTTAGTTCAACAGCACGTTACCAACCTCCATAATCGACTCCTTGACTCCGAAGCCAAGCTTAGACATTTGTTCTGCCTTAACAATCTCATCAACACAGACCAAGCATCGCATGTAACTCAGGCTATGTGAGTTTATTCTCTTGTCCCTCTTATTTTTCTTTCTTTGTCTGGAAGCCATGCTCTCTTTCAATTCCATCAGCTTATATAGATATATGTGCTTGTGTGCTTCATGCTGTATTTCATTTTGGAAATTTTCGAATGTATATTAAAATTTCTTTTGGGTTAGCTTCATTTTAAATTATAGTTTTGTCCATTGCCTTTATAGTCAGCTGTTCTTTCAACTCTGCGTTATGACCACACAAATTCTGAGATCCTGTCTAGCATAAAAATCGTTCACAATCGTGTAAATCCCTCTAATTGAATGCCTGTAAGAAAGCTTTATGAAGGCGCCTTTTCAATCGTACTTTACTTTCTGCTTCTCTTAGTCGTCTTTTCCTTGTATTTTCCCTGTATGACGCCAGTCATTTTATTGCATTCAGCTGATTTTGTAGCCTACCAATTGTGCTATTGTGGGTATTTTCGTATACATGATTTCAAGGGCCGTTTAACCGATTTTTAGAAGTGTTGTTTTTTCTTCCATCACTATTAATGTCCCACCGTCTCTATGGAATGTAACTTCCTAATCATTATCTTAAATTTTCCTTTCCATCTTTACCTATTTTCGTCATGATCAATGTGTTTCAGCAAACCAATTATCATCGATATCCATCCACGTTAGTTCATTCATTCATTTCGTTGGAATAAATATAGTGTATTAACCTATCCTCCCTTTCTCACTACACCGGCTTGTCTCTTTCCCTGAATACTACTCATAATGACCCATAACTGGTTAGCCAGTTAAACTTTCGCAATGAGGACACACTTCTCATTTAATCTACTACACTGAACAATGAAATAAAGTCTGGTATTCTGCCAGCAACGACTCAGAAGCCGACACAGCACTCAAATTATGAGGAAGGAAGAACCCCCAACTTGGCTTAAGTTCTTTCCGACGCCATCTCCTTTGTGGCGATTGCTCTTGCTTTCGTATCTAGCCATCGTGCATCGAACTAATTTTTTTACATCAGCGGCTTACTTTATGATATTGCTTTTGAAAGGTCCTGACGCTTGACTCTATATCAGACATTTCGTCCATCACATGCTTCTACGATTGTTACTCTTTCTCCTCCACCGCGTACACATATGCATCCTAGCAATAGTGATTAGATTTTCACCTAAGGATTATGTTTACACCTAGAGCCTATTTCCGAATCACAGTGCTACAACTAACGAGTCATTAAGCCTTTGTCTACAGTGATAGG